AAGGACTTAATCAGGAGAGAATTCCAGACCTCAAGGTGCAACGAAATCAAAGCTCGAACAAAGAAGAAACAGTGGACAGTGGCACTCTCTGACATACCCGACTGGCCAAGAATCGAAGCTGTTACTGAGTTTAGACTACGTACCGGACACGATTGCTTGGCAAAACACCTTCACAGACTGGGAGTATACACTCAACCCACATGCCCTCTGTGAAACCTACAGGAGGAAATGGAGAAGACCCATCTGATTCGGTGTCCAGCCTAAATACAAGGACGGTAAGCCAAAGATACTGGGAAGGAAGAAGACAGCTAATGAATTGTTATTAATTAACGCTCCTCTGCTACTCCTAACACCGTTCTCTCTCGAGTTTTTTAGCTTTGATGTTGCTTCCCCTCTGAAGGCTTGTAATAACCGTCGAAACGATTGCCATTTAATATAAATAATTGTTTATCTTTGGGTATGGCCATTTCAGTACATTTCTTGCCCTTATTTATTCATTGCCTATTGAACAATGCCTATTAGCAAGATCTATGCCAAAACTCAGTCTAAGTATTGTATTATTGGAGACGAGAATTCAATGCTTTATTTATCATCTCTGAAAATTATGGTTAGGGATATCAAAGGTACTAAAGCAAGTGTTTATGTTTAAATTTTTCTACTACTCAGTTCTAATATGTAAAAGCTACTGCATTAAGATCACTACATTAAGTTGTAATAAGTCGGGATATTGAAACTGTGTGACCCTTTATGTGAAGCCTCTTCGATTCCCCCGAACGCGTTATTAGTCTTAATTGCTCGATTTTTCCTGCTCAGAGTATTTCCACTGTCGTTGTCTACTGAAATGTTTCTGGGAAAACAGATATGTTTTTCTTTGACAGTTATGGAAGACAAAATGTTACCAGTGAGTGGTATTATATTCCTGACATATTGTTAAACTCCCAACTACAAAGTCATAATTGCATTATCTCACAAAATGTTTCCAACCGATGGTTTTATAAAGCCTTCTGTCTAATCACGAGTTTCCGTTGCCTCATCTCAAGATCGTGATTGTTAGAATTGCGGAGATGGAAACCTAATTCAAAAGTTTTAACCATTTCTGTTGATTACTAAGCTTTGCTTTATTTCGTTTCATAAGATGCATCTAAATTGGCTTTCTAACGACATTATTTTGCTACAATTAATTATCAGCTACCTGGTAGCAACTTAAATCATTTTCCAATACAAATTTTAGAATACGTATTTTTGCGCGAAATGTTACAATTCTTAAGTTCTTAAGATGCTTAATTATTCAATATTCTATCAAAATTATTGCCTCCCCGCTGATCACGAGTTTTTGGTGGTCTGATTTCAAGGTCGTAGTTGTTTGAATCTGAATTTTTAGATACTAGGCTCTTAATTATGTAATGAACTTTATATATTTTTCGGCCTAACTCAATGCCCCTAATTATGGATCATTCTGTAACATATTTCCCACCTTTTATTATCCTCCAACTGGTTAAGTGCACCATTCAAGGAATTAATTGGGCTCAAGGGATATAATTGGGCATCTAACTGAGGTTGACCAGTCTACAATCAGAATTCGTACCTGCAACTGCAGAATATATGAACACATATTACAGGGTGACTATTTTTAGCGCATCATCGCCTTTAATGTGAACAACTCGATGGAATGTGGAGAAATGAAAGACGAAGGCAAGACATTTTCAACCAATAGAAATATGTGAAAAGGGTGTTACGGAGGCACATGGAATTGAGTATAAAATTAGAAAGTTTTAAGAGCCATTAACTGATATTAGCTTTGTATTTCCTCTTTCCAGACAATGCAGATCTTCGTCAAAACTGTTGTTGACAAAATTATAACTCTCGAGGTTGGACAAAATGATTTTATTGAGAATGTGAAGGCAAAGATTGAAGAGAAAGAGGGATTCCCAATAGAAGAGCAAAGATTGATATATGGTGCCAGGCAGTTGGAAGATGATCGTACTTTCTCCAACTACAACATTCAAAAGGACTCCACTTTGCACTTGTTATTGCGTCTCCGTGGTGGGGTTGGTATGCAAATTTTTGTCAAAAATCTAAGTGGAAACACAATAACACTTAACGTTGAGCTGGGTGAAACGGTAGAAAGCGTGAAGGCGAAGATTCAAGCTAAAGAGGGCATCCCGCCAAATCAACAACGACTCGTTTTTGCTGGTCAACAGTTGGAAGATGGACATAACATTTCTGAATACAATGTCCAGAAGGAATCGACTATTCATCTTGCTCTTATCCTTCCTGGTGGTATTTTTTTCTACTAACTTTAATTTTATTTTTGTGTTAATTCGCTTTGTAGAATTATACTAAATTATTTATTGGCATTGCTAATAAAACCATATGCTGTCAAAATTCTAGTGTTTAGTAATGAGCTGTTGCAATGTTGTGCTTGTTACGATTTTTATCAGTGATGCGGTTGTTAATTGCTTGAGATTTTCTAAACGAGAGGTGGTTGAAAGAATGTTGAATCATTGAAGTTTAGTATGCAGCGTTCGAGCACTAGTACTCTCGAGTGAACAAAATTAGTTGGAATAAGGCGAGTGCTACAGTAGGATGCACTTGATAATGGGTTTTGCCTAAACACTTCTCCCACAATCATGGTAGACTTCTAAACTGGTTGACAGATCATGCTGAGAGATTATGAAATTAAAAAGTGGAGGGGGGAGGGGAGAGGAGAGTATCGTCAGACGTTGGAATAGAAGTGGAGTTTGTAGGTTGCTGTGATAAAGTCCAAAAGATGTCAACAATGAGAAGGATAAAGTGAATGGGAAATTAGTGAACAATAAAAATGGAAGATAAGAAGGTGAAACTAACTACTAATAGATCAGCCTGCCAATCGGATAAAGAGACCGACAAACAAAACGTCGTCCTGAAGTGCGATTTGAAAATATGTGGCAACTCACGATGAGATTTCGGCAAATAGTGCTCAATATCCTACTGCTATAAGATCTACTTAAAACCACTGGGATATTTTGCCATTGTGAAGGACAAAGAGAGACTCTTGACTAATTTATCACAAGAGTTAGGGAATCAAAGTGCACAAAAACCCTTCGAGCCTTCGTGTTGGCGCAAGTGTGTTTCGCGTTCTACTAGGTGTTATCAACACTTTAGGTAAGGAATTCGCACGTTTAGGCATATTCAGAGTGTACATAAGAGGTATTCACTCATTTCACTTATAATTATAGTTGAAGAATGAAGCATTTCATGAAATCATCATGCTCTATATCATCTTTCCCCTGATTAAAAATATTTGCTAAAAAATAAAAGAGGTTACTTAAAGGAAGCGTGAGGGAGCGAGTTTTGGAATGGCGTGTGAAGAAGAAATGTCTACACTCCATTTTCTCGAAATTTAATCATGGTAATGGTGGACTAAATTATCTAAACTGTAATTTTCAATTAAGCATATTGCTGTGTATCAGTGGGAAGTACTATTTAGACTGGTCAACCTCTGCCTTAAGTGACCAACCCTCAGATGATTAATTAAATCTCCTAATCCCCTCTGTCTTAAGTGTTTATAATGGAAATAAGAAAGTGTCTTAGAGTCACATTCAAACGCTATTTCAGTTGTTCTAATAAAGTGCGAATATTTACGTGAAAGTAGTTTGAGAAAAGACATAAATTGAGAATTAGACAAGAGAGAGTGCAATTAGTGCTGATTGTGATAAGTCTATGGATAATCACAACAGTGGTCGAAATCTGCAAGCAAATTTTCTCTGTGAAGCATTTGAGAAGACAACGAAAATGTCGATACTGTGCTCAAGGCAAGGCAATCACTTGTGATTAATGACATGATTGTGACATTTGAAAAGGTGTAATCGAAAATGACACCGCACAATCATTCAATCAAATTTTTGATTTGTACTCTCAACCATTGGCACGTTTCTCACTAAATGATCTAACTTGTTACTTTTGACCGTTAATTAATTTTAGAAAATATATTCCGTTGGTATCCAAAATTAGGTGCATCTAATGGAGCATAATAATTTGGAACCTGTAAATAAATATAAAATTAAAATTCATAAAAATTGGGTTTTGGTGTCCATATATAAAGATAATATCGCAAACGCAGAGATACTGGGAAGTCGGAAGACAACTAATGAACTTCTATATATACCTTCTTACCCATGGGGAAAGCGTAACACAACAATGGGACTAATGTTAAATACCATAAAGCCTACCATTTGAAATAATTATATATTTATTTTATTATTTTGCTTTTGCATATTTTTGTGCTGTTACAAAATCATATCCCACAACGAAGGGAATTCTGAAGCATATATAAATTCACTACCACTACTTATTCATTTAAGTATAAATGAATGTCAAATTATTATAAATATACCTAATCCCCTCTTTTTCGATTCAAATGGCTAAATATTGAAGCGATGCCTGTGTGTTGGAAAATTGATTCAACTATTGAAATAAGCTTACTACTTTGCAAATATTGACTAGCTCAAATGGCATATTATAATTCAAGTGTGAATTTTTGGAGCATAATTTCTGGTGGCGGGGTGTGCGATAGACTTACCTCCACGTGGTGCAACCTGGGCAACGTATATTCATACGGCAAAAAAGTCTATTAACTGGCAGTTGACCTCTCACTACGTGCTACCATGACCCTACTGTATGCCATATTCGACCACTACCACAGTACTCACCTCTCTTTTTTTGTACCTTTGTGTCGGTCTGTCACTTTTACATCTGTAATTCATTCTTCTATCCCCCTCTCGAATTTTTCTCACTTTGATGTTCTTCCCTTGAGCGAAGCCTGAAGTCAATTAAAGGGTTAATGATAACCATCGAAACGCCTGCCATTTGAAATACATAAATTTCTGGTGGCAGCGGTGATATATAGACACCAAGATTAATCCAGTTTCAGGAGTGCAGCCTCTAAATAACCCAATAAAGAGGTTTTCGCTTGAAGCTGTTTGCGTGCAATTTTCATCTCAATGACCACATGAGATGCGTTACAATGGTGGTAGAGAATTATGACTTCTTATTTCAATAGCCTTTTCTTGAATAATCATTTATTTAATTTAATATGAGTCATTAAATTCAAGATTGAAATTATTGACTTCAAAATAAAATTATTCAATAAGTTGAACAATTTGAAAGATTAAATAATTAAGGTTTATAATTTAAAAATTACTAAAGCGAGAGCAAAATAAGTAACTTGGGCGATTGTGTAGATTCACGCTTAATTTTACTTTAAGATCTTTCAGCGATTTTTTTTCAATATCACTTGTTCGCTTTTCTAGCATCTCTGTAAGCTTGCTATAAATCTTATACCATTTGAAAAAGTCTCAAGTTCCACAGTTACCTGTTTGCATTTTACGCAGTTCCCCATATTTGCATTTATTCATCCACGTCGTGTGGAAACCACAAGTTATTGCATATTTCTTTATTTGTGTGAACACGAATGTATTTAATAAATTTAAATATCAACCAGAATTAATTTTCTAACCGAAGTTCAAGTATCAATTTTTAAAACAATTGAGGGGACAGAACAAATTTAACTTTTAATGCTTAATATTCCTGCGTGCAGACATCGTTTGAAATGACAGCAAAATGTGACTGAACAATTTTGCTTCATGTCAGCTTGAGTGTCTGCGTACTTGGATGCGAATAAAAACAACGTGTATGCCAGTAAATTATTTTCTAAACGAAAATTGTTCAAATGAAAAGTTCCATAAGATACAGAAATCACGGAATTCGAAGTTTGACGTTATCATTACTTGCTTGGAAATCAATAAGCCAACAATTTTCATTGAGAACTCTGAAATGGTAAACCTCGAACGCATTTTTGCATTTTCTATGATAGATTTTGAAAGCAACAAAGATGATAAAAGTAGTTTTTTCGATTTATAAATCTTAATCATTTACCTTTTTGATTCTTTAAATTCTCTATGAACAACGTTGTTTTTTTCACATACTTGTCTAATGTGAAATAGTTATCAATGTTAGATATTTCAATAACTAAATATTTCTTTCTTGAAAAGTGGTTTTAAAATACAAAGCAGCATTCAGATTGCAATGAAAAGAATGAATAAATAACAAAATATTAAATCCTTTCTGTTGCTTTTAAGCCAAGCTATTTTTCAAAAGCAATGAAAACACAAATGTTTCAGTAGGCTAATGTTATTTGACTAGTGACAACGCAAATCAATTATGAACCTCGATTTATTTAAATAAATCGTTATGGATTATGTTTAAGAACGGTGCTTTTCATCAGTTGTAAAATGCTGCTTGGGCTTAAAAAAATTACATTTGAAACATGAAATTGCATTTTTGAAATTTCATGCAACGCTGAAAATATTTTTTATTTCAATGTCTCTTAGTTGAGCAAGTAGTGAAGATATGTCTTATATGATGCAAAATGCACGGTTTTTCGCATATATCAATAAATTAAATATCATATTCTCTATTAGTTTTATCAATCTATAATAATCAAACAGAATAATATGAAATAGAAATGATGCGATGACATTAACTTTGTAAATAATCCTGCATGGATAAGCAAACACAATTTGAAAACTTCTACATATAATTATACAAAAGTGTAATTTGTGCATTTTCATACTTTATTCGTTTTATTATTATGCAATAAAATTTCTTTATTGTTTTTCCAAAAGCAGATCCAACAACGAAGCACATTCTAAAGCACATAAAATACACTACCACTACTTATTTATTTAAGTATTAATGAATATCAAATAATTGGACATGTGTCCATTCCCAACTTTTTGATTCAAATGACCAAATTTTGAAGCGATGCTTGGTTATTAGAAAAATGATTATACTATTAAAATAATCTTAATACTTTGCAAATATTGACTAGCTCAAATAGCATAGTATACTTCAAGTCAGGCCTTTGTGTGCATCTCTTTAGTGCCATCCTCGTTATTCTCTTCAATATTCAGTCTCAGGAGTGCAGCCTTGAAATTATTCGGCTGCCGAATAATCACCTAACAAAGTGTTTTCATTCTAAGCCATTGTGTCGTTATAAGGTATTTGCATGTGATTTTCATATCTACGCATCTTGCATTGAATAACGATATCGATCCAATAAAACATTTCAATGCCTATCTAACCAATTTACATTCTTTAAGGAACATATGATTATATTTGATTTACTTCTTTTGTTTGCACCACTATTTACCATTTCTTTTTTTTAAAGTGTTCAATTTCTGCGTAAAGGGCTGTGCATCGAGGTTTTGATTGGATCACAAATGAAAATATACAAGTTAGAACGAAATAAAATTAT